CTCTCCTGCTGCGTGGCAAGTGTTGGGAAACATGTCAAGTTTGTTTTTAGTCAGTGATTTATCCACAACCTCAACTTCTTTTTGAAGGCAGTGAGTTTGTCAGTCCGTTCAAAGATGTGTCCTCTCCCCTGCAGACATGTTTAAAGTGTTGAGGTGCTCGAATACATCAGCGAAGCGCACGAGCCAGAGTTCATCGCTGAGCATCTCAGTGTACGGGGAGTTATTATATGAGAGGAAGGTGGCGATTTCATGTTTAAGCTCATAAAAGTGTGACATTACCTTTCCCCTCGAAAACCAGCAAACTTCTGAATGATACAACTGGATGTGCTCTCATCCCAGGTCTTTGCTGTGTGAAACAGCGGCTGTTCTTGGCACTCCATTTAATGTAGTTCATTATTTTTATGGCATCTTTCAGTGCTGTATCAAGCACTGGCACCATATCCTTAGCCACGAGTGCTTCTTGGTGAAGAAAGCAGGGAGTCCACATCACATTCAGTGTTCTCTCCAGGATTTTCTTCACAACTCCTGAGTTTTTTTCAGTCATGGAAGCTGCGCCATCAGTTGTTACCCCCACACAATTGTACCAATTCAGCATGTCATTTCTATTTCAGCTGTGGACCTACAGTTACTCAGCAAAAACAAACACCAGCACAGGCCGTGGAGTTCTGCAGAAAAAGCAGCGGTGTGGCGACAGCTGGGGCAGTGCATCACTATGCAAAGAGTTCCTGGTAAAGAGGTCTGCCTCAAGGCACTTGAAGCAGAACCAGCACTGGGCAGTCACAACTGGAAAGATTTAAAGAATAATGTCCACAACTTCATGTCTCAAAAAAGGAAATTGTTGTAGTTCATTTTTAATTTATGTTGTGCAAATAAAGCCAGTTGTGACTAATTTCATGTGCTAAATTGTTTATCAAGCTTCTATCAATGGAGTGGGTGGTTTTTTACAACTTTCACACTTTTTAAAATATTTAGCATTTATATTATCACTTAAGTTCAGCATATTTTCAGGTAAAAAAGCCATTCAGGTATCACAATGTTCAACTTTTGCCCCAGCTAAAAACACCATTTCAACTGTTAACCCATCAGCAACTCTTCAGCTATTTATACCGTAAACAGCTTTTTGATATCCTATGGTTTTTTGCATAATTGCTGTTTACATTTTATGCCTCATTTCAATATCCACACCCTAATAGTCCTCAGGGTGTAGGACCGCTCTCTCTCTCTCTCTCTCTCACTCACACACACACACACACACACATACACCTACTTGTTTTACCTACTTTGTGGGGGCCATTGGGAAAATATTCACAGCTTAATAAGTTCAGCATACTTTCAGCTACAAAAGCCATCCAGGTATCAAAATGTTCAGCTCTTCAGGGGCATTTCTACAATATTAATTTTGACAGGAAATTTTGCCCCATTCAAATGAATGGGCACAACTTAAGTTCAGCATACCTTCAGCTAATAACTGTTAACTATTCAGCAACTCTTCAGCTATTCATACTCTAAACTGCTTTTTCATATCTTTTATGGTTTTTTGCATAATTGCTGTTTACATTTACTATGGTGTCCAGTTTTCATCATGTCTGCATAGGAAACCTGAGACACATCACTTGGATTTGTGTGCTTTACCTGGTAGCCATGACAAGGGCCTGCTTCATCATTGTGACACTCTTTTTACCATGTCAGCATACCATACCTTTGGTATAGGTGAAACTTTATGTTGACAACCCTGTTGTACACCTTCAGCTGTACACTGTAGGCACTTTTACCTCTGTACAGCTCTGAGGACTTTCTGCTGCTTCACCTGTTGCTGTACACTGAAGGTCATTCATCCTCTGCCAGCAAGAGATTCACAGCTTGACTTTTTTACCCTTCAGTGCCATTATGTTCAAAGATAAAAAATATTACCCTTTGTCTGAGATTGACAGCTATGTATTAGAGATTTAATTACAATCACACCTAAATTATGAATCACACAAAATCAGAAATACAACTAACTGCTTGCTTTGTAAAACAAAGTTATTTCAGTTCTGCCAGAAAAATTCATCTCCACAGAAAATTTAGTTGAAGTATTTTTCTCCTACTCACAACTGTTATCACAACCAAACGTTATTATCTGTCCTTATCCTCAAATGTTTGTACTTACCAGCTGAACAACCAGCCACCAAATCTTATAATGGTTGTATTTTCAATGTTAGAAGCAATGTGCATTCCCTAAGTCCCTTATATACATTTGTGTAAAGTCTTGTATTCAAAATCAACAACACAATTCTGGTAGTCAGGTGTCTGGTGAGATGATCATAAGGGCATCTGTGGTGTATAATTTAATGTGTGTGTGCACAGATGATGGATGAAGAGTGAGGAGGAAAGCCACTTCTGAAGCATTATATATTAAAGAGGTTCTTGGCTGGAGAGCAATATCCACTTACTGGCTTACTGATGGCTGCACACTTAGTTACCCCCCCCCCCCCCCCAAAAAAAAAAAAACTGTTTCACACTTTTATTCATTATTGAGCTTCTGTGCCCCAGTAAAAATCATCAAGATAATATATTGGAAAATAATTGATTTGTTTTATTCCAGAATGTCCAAGGAAAATACAAGCTCAGGCGCAGTGGTCAGGGTTTATACACCACGGTATGCACACAGATACTGATGTACCATACCCATTATGCACAATGTAGCTCTGCACTGCAGCACGCAGGCAGCAATCCATGTAGTGGAGCACAAAACAAAAGAAAGGAATGGACTCTATGTGATGGGGACTAAGTTTTTGAATAATACTGATTTCAAACATTACTGACGTATGTAGATGGATCTAAGAAAATTCTTCAGAGGAGGCCGAGACAGGAAAGAAGTTTGGAGAGATGAAGGTGAGCGAGGTAAGACCTGGCTGTAGTTGGTAAACAAGGTAACTTTAGTGAACGAGTAAATTAGGGCTCTGTATATCAATACATATGATAAGTTGGACTACTCTTCAGGAAAGTGTACGACAGGGTGCTGAGAGAGGAGCTATGGTACTGTATAAGGATGTGAGGAGGCAGGTGAGCAGAGTAGCTGTCAATGTAGGAGTGAGCAGGGTAGCTGTCAGCGTCAGAGTAAACAGAGTAGCTGTAGTGATGTCCCCTCTGGAGGGCTTTGAGGGGTGGGGCTAAGGAGAGTGTGATTTGC